TATTAGTACTTAAGATAATGTAAAGACTAACTTGTCAAATGATATAGTCATGTTTCCTATTTAATACCAGTAATTTAAGGTGCTTAGGTAGTGCCACGAGGAGCCCTGGTGGTGTAGTGGTTACAAGTTGGGCTGTGATCTGCCTGGTTGGCAGTTCGAAACCACCAGCAGCTCCACAGGAAAAAGACTGGGCTTTCTACTCCCGTAACAGTTACAGTCTTGGAAACCCACAAGGGGTTCTGATGAGTCAGCGTTGACTCCATGGCAGTGAGTTTCAGGGTAGCTCCATGGGTTAAGCGTTGGACCCATCAGATACTTCATGGGAGAAAGATAAGAAAGTTTGCTTCTGTAAAGATTTACAGCCTCGGAAACCCTATGGAGAAATTCTACTCTGTCCCATAAGGTTGGAATAAACAGAAGGTAGGGGTACCTATAATTTAAAAAAACCCATTCCAAGGAAGTTATTACAGGCAAATGTAAATCAAAACCTTGCTCTACAAAGATTAAAAAAAAGAGAGAGAGAGACACACACACTGATATATCCAACAAATAAAAAAGATCATGAATTTGGTAGAGTATATAATGGAATACAAGATAGCCCATAGGATAGGTCTACCTCATGCCATTGCTACTCTTTACCTGGTTTAAATTTTACAGTTCACCAATAAAATCACTCGTTTGTTCACATTTCCTCATTGCACCATTCTCACTCTGGCCAAATTACTAGTTCGTAACTGTCAATCTACTTGATATTTGCACCAAAAAGAGGCACTTCAGGAAAAACAACACATAACCCTGAAGTTAAATATGTGGTTAAAAATCTCCAGGGGATACCCCATGCTGCCTGGCAACTGAACCCTACTTCCTTGTTACATTCAATCCCCAACTCTTCTAGCACAATGACCCTGGTGCTTATTACTGTACCTATGTGGAAAAAATGGAACAAATCAAAAGAGAGTTCCCACCCTGTCCTAATTCCCAATAGACTGAGCCACCCCATTTGTTCTCAGACTCTTTGTCTTCCTTTCAGAGTATTCCTTCCTTCCAGAGATTAAGGCCACTGCAGATGCCTTAATTTCTCCTCCTAACAAAAGATCTCTTTATCTGGGCTCCATCTCCATTTCCACAGATCTCATCAAGTAACTTCTTTAATATGCTTGTCTTAAACACAGAAATTTGAGAATCTCAAAACATTAAAAACAAAAACCTTTTCTTAGCCCTGTGTCCTCTTCCCTCCTCCAGCCATCTCACCAATTCTCTGCTCTTCATTAAAGCAACATTCAAGAAAGAGTTACCTGTGGACAGCCCCTCTTCCTTCCCTTATTTGCTTCTCAGTCCATTCCAAATGAACTTCTGTTTCATTTCTCCACTGAAACTCTTCTCATAGTTTTCACTATAATAGATCTACTGCAAGCTCCAGGTATTACTTCTATCCTGTTTGATGTCTCAGCAGCATCAGACACGTCTGGACACTCTTCTCTCATTGTGCCTCACTAGTCCTCCTCTCTTCAGTTTACCTATACAGGTAAGGGAGCCTTAGGAGCCCCTTACACACATTCTCGCTACAACAGCCCATTTAGTCCCATTACATTAAGTATATCATCTCTGTACTGATTCACAGAATTGTATCTCCAATTCACATCCTCCCTAGAACTCTAGACAAATATATTAAACTATATATTTGATAGTTTCACCAAGCTGTCCAATAAGTATTTCAAATAAGACTTAAACAAAATTACTATATTTCCCCCTCTTCCTTTATGCATAGCCATTTTAGCCCTAAATTATTTCTATTTCAGGATAAATCATCCAGGTGCGAAAGTCAAAGATCTAGGCACAATCATTTATCCTTTCTTTCTGTAATCTGCCACCTCATACCATTGATAAAGCCTGTTAATTCTGACCAAAATATATTCCAAATCCATTCTTTTTTATCGCTTTATTAGGGGCTCATATGACTCTTATCACAATCCATGCAAACATCAATTGTGTAAAGCACATTTGTACATTCAGTGCCCTCATCATTCTCAAAACATTTGCTCTCCACCTAAACCCCTGGCATCAGCTCCTCGTTTTTTCCTCCCCCTCCTCACTCCCGCTCCCTCATGAACTCTTGATAATTTTTTTTTTTAACATTTTATTAGGGGCTCATACAACTGTTATCCCAATCCATACAC